GTTTTTCTCATGCCCTTCCAAAGCAGCTGGTCTGGAAGCTAACCTCCCCTTATTTTTTGGGTGGAAAGCAGAAATCGAGGGCCAGTTTTTTCTTCGTCTTTTTAGGTCGGCCTTTAACTCCAAAGGCCGACCAAAAAGGCAGAGAGAACGAAGCAAGCCTGGGAATTGCACCACAAGAGACCCATTTCAACAGGTACAACTTAGCAAACCATGTAATCACAAACTAAATATAAACGCGCATCAATGATTGTCTTTGAACACCTTTGATCCCAACCATCCTACGATCCTATGAATTATGTGATGTCATGCAGCAGCAACGGGCTTCAGCCATTGATATATGTGAAATTCAATGTGTAGTATTGGATCTACACTTAAAACTAATTTTACAAATATTGGGGCATCCTATGATGAACAAAAATTATAAGCATGTAGGGTGGCAAAGGTAGCGGGATCTGCGATAAATTGGGTGGGCGAAATCGGTACCTGCCCCTATGTACCTCAAATTTTCGTCAAAAGTATTTTAGTGGTGCACTTTATAGTGCCAAATTTCAAAGCACAGCTCCGATTCTTTGATAAGTCAGAACGACATTTCTGAATATTCCGATGACAGACGCCAAAGCAGACGGACAAGCTGCAGCAGCCATGTTTGCTCTTTCTAACAAGAGATGACATCACCGTTCAAAACGGCTCAAATAGGTGCGTTGCTGCACACAATAAAATTCGAGTAAATCCTTCTGCAATCTCCTTGTTCCAAAAATTAAGCACACACAGACAGAAATAAAGAGAAAAAGTAGCCGGCCAGCAAAATAAAGCAGACGACACGCAGACGAAATCTGTTGGGACAAGAGCCCTCCAGCGGAGGAACCACGTTGCACCATTTCTTGTTAGCAAAGAACATGATTCTCGCTGCTCCTTCTTTCTCTGCATCGGTATTTGCCATTGAAAATTTCAGATATCGTGTTCGTACTCCTTGCGGAGACGGAACCACGCATTGAAGTTTGTCACGAGAACATGCACCACTAAAATATACCTTTGACCTAAATTTCAGGTATGTATGAGCAAGTACAGATTTTTTCAGCTCTACTTACCATACAGCACGAAAGCCTGTGCTTGAGGTTCTCTATTAAAAATCGCTTTAATGTGCCGTGTAGTAAGTAATCAGTATAAAAGCTAAATAAAAAACTTGCCTGCTTTTTCTATATTTGCACAAAGTGCTTTCTGCAACTGCACATCCAGCAACTGGCACTGCTCTAAAGCTTCAGTCTTCTTGCGCAGCTTTCGTACTACTTCTGCGTACTGCTTCTGTGACACACTCCCTCCACTGTCACACTGGATTTGTTCCAGGAGCTCCATATCTCGTCGACGCTTAGAGTGTTGCTGTTGTTGCTATGCCTTCTTCTTCTTCTGCGCCGGAAAACCAATACCAGGAAATGTGAGAAAATTAGGGAGGTTTTTCTTAAATACATTAATCAGTGTATAAATAAACTCTGAGACCCAAACAAAGTCTGACAAATACCTGTTTGTGCGCCTGAGAGGGCTCGGCAGCCATCGTGCTGAGAATGGGCCTCTTCCTGGTTCTTCCAGCTATAAGATGGATCTCTTCTTCAGTTTCTGAAATTGATGGGTTTCATAAAATCATTCAATCAAAAGACAGCCTCAAGCATTTCTATCAGAATTGTACAGTGCACCTCAAACTTAACACCGCCACGGCATTTGCCGTTTCTGACAGTCCCTGCGGCGCCCGATTGAACTATCTGAAGAATGTTTCGGTTCCCGATTTCTATCCCACCCTGAGAAGCCATCCCGAACGTTTTGGTGACAAATTGAACAGTAAGTAGCCGACACGAGCTGTATGTTCGTGAACCCAGCGGCGGCGTTAAGTTTGGGGTGCATTGCACATTACTTTTCTCTGTCAAGATACCTCTGAGGACGCCGAGACAATTACTGAGAAAGGAGTGAAACAGCCCGGTTTTTACCATCTTGCCTGTTTGCCAAATTACTGATCACGTAACGTTAATATGGCTGTGCCCAAAGGTGGGCCAGATCAGATTGGCCAGATCACGGTCAGCAGTTGGGCACCCTGGGTGTGTTCCAATCTTACTTGAAGGGATCCGAGTTATTGCTGTGATCAAGTCACGTGACAAGACAGATACAGCAATGCTGGACGCAGGTAGGTTTTCGAATGCAACGGGTACGAGATCTTCACCTAGGAGTGAAATGGAGCAAATTTTGAAACACAGCCACACGGCCTGGATGGGGGCCGAGCCGAGCGACTGGGTATGAGCTGGCCGAGCGCAGCTGGCCAACACCACCTACATAGTAGTGTAGTGTAGTGGGTGGTGCTGGCTCGGCCCCCATCCAGGTCGTGTGGCCATGTTCTAAAATTTACTCTATTTGCGTTTGATTTACTTCTACCTCCAGCACCGGTGCAGAAAAGTGTAGGCCGGTCTACTTCCGGTATGTGTATTTAGATACGACCAGAAGTACACCGCCCTACACTTTTCTGCACCGGTGCAGGAGGTGCAAGTAAATCAAACGCAGCTTCTATCTCACTCCTGGGTGAAGGTCTCGTACCCGTTGCATTCGAAAACCTACCCGCGTCCAGCATTGCGGTATCTGTCTTATCACGGAACTTGATCCGCTGGAATAACTCGGATACATTTGAGTATGATTGGAACGCAGCCTCAGAGTGCCCATCTGCTGACCGTGATCTGGTCCACCTCTGGGCGTAAATATGTTAACGTCACGTGATCACTAATCTGGCAAACAGGCAGATGGCGACAACCAGGGGGTGCCATTTTTGACCGCTGGTTTACCACTCCAAGTTTACTCAAGCTCGCTGCCCACACTGCGGATCGAACCTGGGTCCGCTGCATATAAAGCAGACACCTTTCTACTATGCTACCGCTTCAGAAGCTGTTTTTGACCACTTGTTTTATACGAGACTCAACAAGTTTCACGTCGTGCGTATAGCTTTACTCTGTTGAGTATTTCGCAGTGAACGCACTGAATGCTTCCGATATTCTGTGACTTTCTTTCTTTTTTTTTCAAATAACATATTTGCAGCATTTTAGAAGTCATAAAAAATCAGTTTCGGTTTTTTGTTTTAATATGAAATGTGTGCCTTCAATGACCCCCGACTTGGATTCAATTTGGCGGTTGTGTCTAAACCTTAGAAAACGGCCCGTGCCCACGGAGAAGAGAGTGAGCGCGACTCAAACCGGCCAGTTCTCGTTTGGCGATTTTCGGGCGAAAGAAACCGAATTTCGAGCCGAAAATTCTAATCTGGGTAGTTGGGTTCTCATATGTCGTGTACAACTAAAAATCTCGGCGAGCATAAATACCCTCTCAGTGTCCCTCTAAAGCGCGAGCCCGCGCGCTTGTGCAGTTCATGCAGTGCTTCAGGCTGCGTGCCCGCGCCTGCTGCTTCAGCTTCGCTCGCACGTATGAAGCGAAGTATAGCAGCGTTCCCCAAGTCATCGTGACGGCCTTCGCAAAACCAAGACGGGTGATACCGATGGTCTCGAGATCGACATGTGACAAGCGGGCCGCAGCCCCGTTCATCCGAAACATCTAACCATTTCGGGCGCAATATGAAAAACTGGCGACTTCAGATGAAAAGAATGTCAACAAAAGGGTTTTCATACCTGCCATGTGGATGATCTGAGCACTGTAGTAGCCTCCTTTGGTGGACGCGTCTCCACTCCAAAATACTTCGTAGAGAAAATCCGGGTTGAAGTCGTCACGGTGCAGTGGGCACAGGTCTTTTATGTATCTTGTCGACACAACGGCAGTCGTATCGTCTATTTTGCATCCTACTAACGCGAACATCACACAAATCTAGACGGTACAGCGTTCACAAAGAAATTTTAAGCCTACGAGACAAGTGTTCTTACGTAACCGCTCGCTTCCTGTTTTCCCCAGCTCCCTTCCAGGGTTCGGGAGGGCCAATCTTCGTACGTTTTCTTTTCTTTTGCCTTTAGGGGGCGCTAGTGGCCGGTACAAATTTAAACAAATAGAGATAATGTCTAGAATGGATATCTTTATACCACGATAAAATTATAGTTTATTGTAAAATTAGTGACAATGACAAATTTTTAAAGCCTCCCACTTTTCTAGTCCCAGCGTTTTATTTTAAATTCTCCTTTCCTCCCGCGAGTCTTTTCAGGAGCCTAGCCTAGCTGCCTACTCAGCCTAGTCAGCCTAGTCGCCTAGTGTTGGCCTAGTGATTCGCGCTCAGTTCCTCAGCGTCCTTAGCATATGTAGAAATATGTTTTCTAGCTTCCTGTCACTGCTTCAAAGCCAAAAAGGTTAGTGCCCGTTGGTGAGCAACAAGTATTCGTTTTGGGTGACAACTGTAGTTACAAACAAGTGCAATGTCATCGAACGATAAGAAAAAAAGGAAGCAGTACATGGAGCCAGGTCAAGACTATGCGATCCCAAAACAAACGAAATCCAACCGAGCGGCGAGGGTTCGAGAAGGAATTAGCCTGTCGGAGCCACCACCTGGTACAAGCTCGAGTTACTTGAGCGATCACTCAGCGGGCGATCTGGACCATCCGGACGACAGCAATGGTCACGCGTCAGGAGATGGAGATCAGGGTTCGCGCCGGTGCTGCAGACTCGACGACTCCAACGAAGTTGAAATGAGCCTTAGCGCCTCAAGCGAAGACGAAGCTACGTCCGACCAGAGCTATGGATCCGATGGCACAAGCAAAGAGGATGCGACATCCGATGACGTGAGCCAAGATGGGCTGAGCGGAAGTGAAACGACATCAAGTTGCAGTTACGATGATGAAGCGAGCCAAGATCGGCTGAGCGGAAGTGAAACGGCTTCAAGTTGCGGTTACGATTCCGAGAGAGAAGAATCCAACTCTGCCGCCAGCGACGATGATGACCAGTCAGACTTTAAGAGCTTTGAAGTAATGTGCAGTGGGCCCACTCTTCCTGGTCAGGATACGACCCGAGGCCAAGTTTTGTTGTTGATCCTGGCATATGTTATGTCTGCAGGTCTCTCGTGGACGCAGACTGAAGGTCTTCTAAAACTAGTCAACACTCTCTTTGGCATTTTGGTAGCACCAAAATCGAAGTTCCTTTTCCGGAAAGTTTGGAAGCAAAACCAGCGAGGCATGGTAGATTTTCATTTTTTTTTTTGCGAACGATGCTCTAGGGCATTCGGTGTCTGTAAAGCTCCCATCCAAGGCAAGAACATGAGGTGCTCGCAGTGCAGCACTCTGTATAAAGCAGAGGAAATGGTCGCTGATGGGACATTTTTTATAATTTTCAACCTACGAAAGCAACTGCAACACCTGGTGAAAAACTGCAAGGAGGCTCTATGGGACAACATGGAGAAGATTGCACAGAGGTCACATGACATCTTCACTGACCTGACCGACGGAGACCTTGTCAGGAAAGCACGAGAGAAGTTGGGCTGCACAATGCACGATTTAACGGCGAGCTTCAGTACCGATGGATCACCAGTTTTTAAATCCAGCAAAACTCTATGTGGCCCATTCACATGATGTTGAATGAACTGCCCCCCATTCTTCGGTGGCAGAACCTTTTGCTCGGCGGAATCTGGTTCGGCGAAAAGAAGCCAGATATGTCGCTCTTCCTCAACGGGTTCGTCGGGCAGTTTCAAAGAATCGGCTCACTCAAGTGGAGTTGCCACAAAAATGAACAGGCTCTTTCATCCAAGGTGTATGCGGTGTGTTGCATTGCAGATGCTCCTGCTAGAGCAGCAGTGCTAAATCGGAAGCAATTCAACGGGTACTATGGCTGCCCGTGGTGCTACCACATTGGAAGACTGGTTGAAGGTGTGTATTTTTTTCAGCAATTGCCCTTTGACCTACAAACCATAAACCTTCATTTTCAGATGGCATAACTCAATTTAAGCCTGTTGCGAAATAGTGTAGTGTTGTCGGGCTCAGAAATTGCTTCTTACCACTGGTGATATGATTGTTTGAAAGAAAAGCCCCTGCTGAAGTATGTGTTTCTCTCATGCCACCCTAACGGTTGGTTCGAGGTTCGAATTGATACTCTGTCGACCAGTGCCATCAGAGTGCACTCCTAGCTGCTTACAGTAGACGTAGCTGACCATAAAATCAACATTGCAGAGCTGGATTCATTGTTTCTGGCTGTGATTGAACCTTCTTGCTATAATAAAATGCGCATGGTTTTCATCTGCATTCATGGGCGTACCAACCGGGGGGCGCTTCCCCCCCCCCCCCCAGTCTTCAGAGTTGGGGGGGGGAGGGGGGGCAAGACATGTGTTTGCCCCCCCCCCCCCCCCTGAAACAGCCGCCACTGGGCAGGGCAAGCACTGGCCGGCGGTGCCCAAGGGATACCTAGGGCACCGCCCACCGGCCCTGGGGGGGGGGGGGGGAAGTGGGATCTGGTTTGCCCCCCCACTCAAAAACAAGTTGGTACACCACTGTCTGCATTATGCGGGGACTTAACTGCCATGTTGGTTGCCACTTGTAATCTTGCTCTTTGCACAGGTGCGGGCTGCGCTACTTTCGAATGCATTTGTTGCCGTCGAAGGAACATTCCTGCACTTCGAGCAGTTCTAATTTTCACATTTGACAAGCACTGACTAGTATAAGATTGTTGCCCCAAGGTGGGAAATTTACATCAGTGCTAGACACAAACGAACGGAAGCCTTAAGGCAGTTCTATGCGTGGAGCCATGTTGCAGCAGCGAAATCACTGAAGTGGTGAATGTTCACGTTTTTCACTTCTCCACAGTGAGATTAACTGACCTTTCTTGTCACACTGCACTTTTCAATGATTTAGCCTGGTTAACTAGTTCGCTGCTGGAAGCACAAAGGCACGCACTGTCTTAGTCTTAGTTTATAAAATCCAGAATCCACCTCCAATCGCCCGAGGTTAACTTGCCCACCTGAGTAGACCAGGGATCGGCAACAGTTTGAATCAGCGGGCCGGGTGGCTGTGAGCCGGATTTCAGAAAGATGAGGCCGGGAGCCGGATGAAACTGCCTCGCGGGCCGTAGGTTCTTGACCACTGGCGTAGAATTTTAAGCTGTTCGCTCTATGCACAACCAGCACAAAGGCTGAACTAGGTGTCACAAATATGACTGCCCAAGATGGCTGGTCTAGATTAATACATGCAAATGTTTTTTAACACTTTCATGTCCGAGTAAAAGGATTTGCAAAAAGTTAACTGTACATACCAGATGTCTGGTAGCCCAGATGGTGCCTATTTTGAGCTTTGTGCCAAATAAAACAACAGATTTTTGTGTCAAATAAAACAACAGATTCAAATGAGTCCAAGAATCAATTTGCAATGAGACTGCGTTTGCAGCTTTGCTTACAAGCCTTTACTGATTTGTTCCAAACAGAGATTAACCCGCAACATCACGGTCGCCAACCGCTACAAAAATGACAAGGGAACAATGCAATGACAAAACTGCCCCTTCAGTATCCTGAGCTTACTTTGACTCGTTGTAAGAGAGTGATCATTCATGATATAACAGTTCAATATTTCTTCTTTTCTAGGCACTCTAAAGTACCCCCACAGCTGCACTCTGACTGAGAGGACACACGAGGGAGTGCTACAGGACATGAAAGCAGCAGTGATGACTGGTACCACAAAGCATGGAATGTATGGGCCGAGCCCCATTGCACGACTCCAAGGATTTGACTTGGTTTAGAGCGTAGTGCCGGACTACATGCATTGTCTACTTGAAGGTGTCACTAAACAGCTGACAGAGGCGTGGTTCTCGAGTACCGGTGCTGCATTCTACATCGGAAACCAGATGACCGCCGTAGATTGTAGGTTTGCAAGGATATGTCCCCCGAATCTTTTTGCGCGCTCAACACGATCAATGAAAGAACGAGCTCTGTGGAAGGCTAAAGAATGGAGGTATTGGCTGGTCTATTATGCTATGCCCTGCCTTCATAGCATACTACCACGGGAGTACTTCGTGCACCTCACACTCTTGTGTCAGGCAACATTTCTGCTCGTGCAGAAGACTGTTAGCAGGGCCGACATCAGACCTGCTGAATCACTTTTAACGCGTTTTCTTCAACATGTATCTGCCCTTTATGGTGAAGCTGCAGAAACATCAAACATGCATCTGCTTATGCATTTGCCAAAATCTGTAATGCAGCTTGGTCCCTTGTGGGCTACATCAATGTTCCCGTTTGAGAGTGCAAATAGTGTGCTCCTGCTCCTTGTCACCGCTGCGAAAGGTGTCCCTCTGTAGGTTTCCGAGAGATGGGTCATGAAGCAGACCCTGTTAAGACTCGGTGATGTGATCCACCTCCCAGCTAGCTTTGACCAACTGTTTCGGACGTTTATGAAGATTCGGGATGTTCCTGAGGACGGTGTTTTGGGCGTTCCACAGGCAGGCTCAATGACAGCTGCTGTGCATGGTCTTCTTGGGTGTCACTTTGGCCAGGTACCCACTCTTGAAAAGCATTTGAGAGCAAGGGTACAGGGCTTTGAAGTCCACAGCTGCGAGTACACGCGCCCCAAGAAGACGTGCACATAGTTTGTAAAGATGCGAGATGGCACATACTGCAAAATTCAGACTATTTACAGAAACACATCAAGCAGTGCCATTCTTTTTGTTTGTAAAAGCCTCATTATTGAAGACTTTGGAACTGGTAGTGCCAAGTACTTGCACAAGTGTATTGTGCCTCCCAATGAGGAGAGTTTAGTTTTGTTCTCATCTAACGAGCTTGAAGGTATCTGCGTCTTCATTGACCATGAACATGGACCTTATTTGTGTGATATGCCTAACTTCTACGAGAAAGAGTAAATATAGAGCGAGTAAATCTACAACATTCTAAGTTCCTGGTTCAAGGATTCCTTGGTATGAAGAACGCATGAGCAAGGTACTCGCTAGCATGAGTGCTTCACTTCGAAGGATGCCCCCATTGAATGCTAGCATTTGAGGTAAGCAAGCTAGTTCTTCTGTTGTTCTTATCAAGGAACCCTTGAAGCAGCAATTTGGAAAGTGGTGGATTTATAAATGCTTGCTGCTTTAAAGAAGCCTCGAAGAAGCACCAGGCATTTTGCCAAAACTTGGCCTTGTCAAAAGCTAAGCCTGTTACCAAAATGTTGGGCGCCACTCAGCCTTCCAGGACATTGCTTTTTAAATTCTTGCTGCCAGCCCCCCATACCCGTCTACAATTCACCTCGGCCTATGGTGAACTGAAGGTCAAAGGTAAAGGCTGCCACGTCCAGTCATGACCCACATAAAAACCATGTGGTATTTGGCTTCGAGGATCACTGACAGGGATGGGCAAACATGAGTTGAATTGAATAGCATTGTGTCATTTGTGCATTTGGCAGTGCAAAGAAAGCCACAACATACTGCACTGGCTTTCTTTGCAGTATGAGAAAATAGGAAAGACACCGGGCTATTTAATTCAAAGAATTATTTGCCCATCCCTAATTGATGACGTACAGACCAATACATTGTTTATATAAGTGACTCGTGATTTAACCGGCAGTTCTGAGCTTTTGCCTTCAGTCCATTGTTGGGCGAGGCGAAGTGCAGTGCACACAAAACAATGATTAGCACAAATAGCTGATTGGCAGGCTTTCCTCTTGTTCTCTGAAAATTGAAGCTGTCACCGAAACAACTGCTGTGTAAAATGACCTTTTGTGGAGCAGTCATTAAAGTCATTTTGGTGTTCATTAGAATCTTGTCGAGTAAAATGTGAAAAAAGCGGCAGTGTCATGTTTGTACTAAATGTGCAATGCGCGAGTGTTGCGATTCACCATATTTGTTGTCAGTTAAGCTTCTCACTTGTTCAGTTGTTGGAGTTCATATATAGTTTTTATCAAATGATCGCTTTGCCTGTTTTGGTGGGGGGGCCTGAGAGAGGGACTTCAACGTTTAGGGGTAGAAATTGGAGTTGTGGGAAATTAAATGTGGCCGTGGGTCCCCGTCTTCCTGATGTAGTATGTAGGATGTCAGTGAATTGAGGAATGGGGTGTTTTTTGTGGAGTCGGGACCACTCCTCCAGTGTTAAAAGTCTTTCCTCTCGAAGAGGCTTGGTTGCCGTTTCTTCAGCCATGTCAGGCCTGTACAACCCCAAATGAAGGGGCTTAGTGTGGCTGTGTTGTTCCTGGTGTAGGCATTGCACCTGCATGGTGCCCTCAATATCGACAGGTCTGAAGCTCGATTGGTTGGTCGGTGTGAATGAACATAGTCGATTATAATTCATGTTTAGAGCAAAAATAGACTCTGCTTGTGCTGTAAACATGTTTCATTTTCAGCACGCTGCCTTAAGCTTGTATAAAGCTCCAATTATTGACCCCTTCCACAGTTTACAAGACTTCCTGTGTAACAATAGTTGTTCCTATATGATGAGGAGTGTTATCGAGCACTCTCTTGTGCTTTTATTGAATGCCTTTCAGTGCTCTTAGCTCTGTATTTCATGACTGATTGAATAAAACTGTTTGCTGTGCTTGTGCATTCAGCACCATTTCTGCATTTCTTCGTGGTCTGTGTGAGTGCACGCAATATAGTCTCAGTCAGCAAAGGA